TTATGCTGACGAGTAATGCGCATGTCATAAAATACTCAACATGGAAACGAGGCTGCTTCAATAACCCCAGTTTGAACACTTTCTTTAAAGATTTTTTTTCAGAAATGCTTCTCATATTAACATATCAGCCATGTTCTTCACTCAGAAATGTAAAGTATTGTCACGTGACCTATTTCCTGGAAATTAAACAAATACACGTAGCGCATGCCTGGGATACCTGTGGCAAGCTTGAAAATGCGTAGTTTTAATTTTTTAAAGATCGAATTGGGTGCTTTAAATATTTTGGGAGTAACCCCAAGTAAAAATATAAGACAAGGGCAAAACAACTACAAGTTACTATATGGCTGAACATTGCGCATGCGCTGTATGAAAACAGGGCTGCACACAATCATTATAGAGTACTTACGATTTGATTTATTCATTTTTTGTCAAATGATACGTTTGTTGAAAAAATTTGACGATGTGGTACGCTATTCTATCGATAATTGAGGTACTTGGGGGAGAAACTGGCAATAGCAGTGGTATTAGAACCCAGGCCACTCACACGCGATTTCAAGATGGCGGCCGTCATGGGCACTTGCAGCCATAAAAGGTACGAAATTTTTAATGTTATCATCGTTTTTTGGTTTTTACATGCATATCTTATCTACTTCTGTACGAAACGAATAAAGAATTCCCAATTGCCATGTTTTTTTTTATCATTTTCTACGTTAGAAACTATCACTAAAGATTTCAAAAATCATGGATTGGGATCTGTGCATCATTTGCCAAAAAAGTTCCGTTGAAAAATTACAATTTCCTGCAAACTCAAAGCGTAAAGACGCTGGTGTTGGCTACACTTCATTTGTTAGAAATCTCGAAGAATTCCGGAAGCTAGAAATTACCCCTGAATGTTTAAATGTGGAATGTCTCGATGAAGGTCTTGGAATAGAGCAGACTCTTTTGAATAAAAAAGCTTCCTGGCACAAGTCTTGTCGAGACCTTTTCAGCAGTACCAAGTTAGAGCGTGCCAACAAAAGAAAATTATCGGCAATAGCTGATGAAAAAGACAGAGAAGATTGCGAACAAATCATAGATGTAAGTAGTTCCAGCCCAATAAAGGCCAGGCGATCTAGTACTGCTTCAAGTTGTCTGCCAGAAAACCACTGTTTCTTTTGCGATTCTGCAGATAGCCCAACAAATCTTCATTCTGCTTCCACACTCGAAGTCGACCGAAAGGTCAGAGAATGTGCTCATTTGTTGAATGAAGGGAAACTTATTTCGAAGATGTCAGCCGGTGATTTGATCGCAATTGAAGCGAAGTACCATGCGAAGTGCTTAGTCAGTCTTTATAATCGAGCGAGACAATTCCAAGCGCCAACCACCAATCCTGTCCCTGCGAGTTCGCGAACTGGTTTAGATGAACTGGCATTTGCAGAGTTGATTGCCTACGTCGACGAACAGCTTGAATATGAAGATCTTCCAGTGCTCAAGCTTTCCGATATCGTAAAATTTTTCTCATCAAAACAGCACGGGAACTCGGAATTGAATCCGGAAAGGTTAATGCTACTAGACTGAAAGAAAGAGTACTCTCTGCTTTTCCTGACCTCACAGCACATAACCAAGGACGAGAAGTGCTACTGGCATATAAACATGAAATCGGGGGAGTGTTAGAGAAAGCCAAGAATGATTCAGAAGCATGTCATCTGGCTAAAGCTGCAAATATTGGCATGATTATCAAAGGTCCAACTGCCAAAATATACGCGTTGCCGGTGGGCAGTCAGGCATGTCTGACAATTGCTCAGTTAATCATATTCAGCAGCATCGCACGAAGTCGAAATGAGTCTACAGAAAAATCTCGTCATATAAGATTTAGAGAAACTCCACTACCAATTTATACAGCACTGAAGATTCATGGAGCAACGAGGGATAGATCTCTTGTAGATCTATTTTACAAGTTGGGGATGTCTATTTCGTACGATCGGCTACTTTCTGTATCTACTGAATTACCAATAGTGTTATAAATCGGTACGAAAGAGAAGGAATCGTTTGCCCGTCTAAACTTAAAGAGGGACTGTTCACTACTGCAGCAGTTGATAATATCATAAACGAACATTTGCCTTGGAAACAAATCAAAATTGATTCTAGTGACAAGCCTTGGATTACTTCCGAAATAAAATCTCTTATTTCCAAGCGGCAAACAGCATGGGCGGCTGGCAATAACCTGATGTTCAGATTCTATCGAAACAAAGTCAATGCACTTTGCAAAAAAGCACGACTAAATTACTACAATAAAAGTATCGCGGGCGTTCAACAGTCCGATTCTCGTAAATGGTGGTCAGCGGTGAAGAATATTGCCGGTCTTCAGTCTTCTAAGAATGTATCTACAATGATGTTCCAAGGTAAATCCTACTCTGATGCCGATTTAGCAAATTTGCTCAACGACAAGTTCGTTGCTGTAGGGTCCTCCTTACCCAATCTAAACTGGCTCCCCCTTCCCACAAATGACATTCCAGATGATTTCTGCATCTCTGTCAAGGAGACTGAAAAGGCCCTATTATCATCTAAACTTCATTCATCTGCTGGTCCCGATGAAATTCCTTCTTGGCTTCTCCGGGAAAACGCTTCAGTGTTGTGTCGACCTTTGTGTTCTATTTTTAATTCATCAGTTCGTGAAGGATTTGTTCCCTCAATATGGAAGGCAGCAAATATTACACCAGTTCAAAAATCTTCGCCTCCTAAAGATGTTGATTCTGACTTCAGACCAATTTCCCTCACACCAATTATCAGCAAGATTCTTGAATCCTTTCCCTACAAATGGCTACTTGACTCCGTCTCAAAAAAAATTGATTCCTTGCAATTTGGTTCGCTGAAGGGTTCAAGCACTAGTATGGCATTAATCTACATGCTACATAAATGGTTTGAAGCAGCTGACAAACAAGGCAACACTATACGGATTTGTTTACTTGATTTTGCCAAGGCGTTTGATAGATTAGATCATAACATTCTGTTGGAAAAATTGAAAGACATGGAAATTCATCCCGTGTTACTCAACTGGATCGCAAACTTCCTAACAGGCAGACAACAAAGAACCCGTGTTGGTCAGTTCTTTTCTGAGTGGAAGTTTTTAAACGCCGGCGTCCCACAAGGAACGAAGCTTGGCCCGCTATTATTTTTGATCATGATAAATGACTTGGCTGTAGTGGATGAAACTGTTAAATTTGTCGATGATACTAGCCTTTGGGAAATAATATCAAACAATTCCCCTTCCCAGTTACCCGCTAACATCATCAGCTGCTCTGAATGGTCATCAGACAATAATATGAAGTTAAACGTATCAAAGACCAAAGAATTGCGTGTCTGCTTTTCTAAGCTTACTCCATCGTTTGCCCCTATTACCATTCGCGGTCAAGAGGTCGACGTCGTTTCCGAGGCCAAACTATTGGGCGTTGTCCTTTCGGACGACCTCAAATGGAACTGCCATATTGACTACATTTGCAAGAAAGCCGCGAAGCGTTTGTACGGTCTGCGCCTTCTTAAAAGAAATGCTTTACCTACTCATATTCTGATCTCAACCTATTGTACACATATTCGACCAATTGTCGAATATGCTTGTCAGGTGTGGCATTATGGCCTTCCTCATTACCTGAGTGATCAAGTTGAAAAAATACAAAAAAGGGCATTAAAAATTATTTTCCCTGGAACTATTTATGCTGAATGTTTGCTTAAAGCTAACTTGATGACTCTTTACGAACGTAGAACTGTCCATTGCAAGCGACTTTTTTCGAAGATGTTGGAACCCACTCATAAACTGAATGCCTTAGTACCGCCTAAAAGTCTTCAAACTTATAATCTGAGGTCTTATCCCAACTTATTAGTACCTAGGTGTAGAACTGAACGTTTTCGAACAGTTTCATTCCTGCTGCGTCTCGTGCTTATAATAATAAGTAAACTTTAGATTACTAACGTTATTTTTATCTAACTTACCTATTTTTACCTGTAAATATAGAATAGATTAAATACCTATGTTCTTATACCCTGTAATTCCAAAGTAATTCAGTTGTTACTGCTAGTTTGGAAATTTTTAATAATAATAATAATAATAATAACATCGACCACAATCCAAGCTCAACGAGTTCGCATGATTCATTCCATGGCACCGCAATTTCATTGGTCCAACACCCAACAATGGAAGAACCAGGAATTGATAGAGCCGTTGACATCTTTGACCCAACAAAAAGTTCCGTGTCGAAAAAGATAGCCCAACTACCACCGAGTTACAGTCAAGTACCACCAATGTACCTACGCCCCAGTGACTTTTACGCACCGGAATCTAAAGGAGAGCTGACGATAGATCCTCAAGTGATGCTAAATAGTAGTGAACCCTATCCTGAACAAGATTGGCTGGAGAATACTCTGCAACTTCTCTCTAAAGAAAAATTGGAGAAAGATGATTTCGTATCATGGGCGGCATATCGCGCTTCAAAATCCATGTTGTCGAGTCACGAGCCAGCCATCATTTCACTATTACCGATGTTTATAGAGAACGCCCACTCCGTCGCTATGATAGCACATTCCTTGAAAGTGATCAAAGCAGCTGTAAATCAGGTCAATCCTACACAAATCCCAGTTGTTGCAGTAGATCAGCCACTGTTTGCTCTCGCCAAACAAATTCAGTGGACGTTCAATGAAATATTCGATGAAGATCAATTTGTCATCATCACTTCACATAGAAATGCCGGCCTTCAAGATGCTCGGAAAGTGGCTCAGCGGTAGCGAATGGGCAGAGGCTCTCTGCAATGCAGGTGTGGCTACACAAGGCGTACCTAATTCATTCCTTGCAGCAAGTCATCTAACTCGAACGCGACGAGCACACCAAGTTACAGCAGTCAGTCTACACATGCTCATGGTGAAAGGATACGATGAATACACTCTTAATGTTGAAGAGAATGATCAGCTCAAATCTTTTCATGAATGGAGAGAAGAAATGTCAGAGAAATGTCCCCAGTTTTTGTATTGGTCTGGAGTATTGGAGTTGCAGCTCTGCGTTTTTCAGCTTGTGAGAGCGTTTAGAGAAGCCAACTTTACTCTGTACGTCAACGCCATCAAGCAGACTTTACCATGGATGTTTACCATGGATGTTTGCAACGCCAGATGGCTATGTGTCCATTATCGAGATATGTGCGAGCTTGCAGTCCGACATCCAGAGGTCTACACACAATTCACGAGAGGTTGTTTTGTAGTTCATAAGACGAGGAGGTCGTTTTCTTCCATAGCGCTGGACCACGCACACGAGCAAGTGAATCCATGGTCAAAGGCGACGAAGGTGTTGTTGGACTCACGGAAAACCCTGCAGCCCTCAGAAGATGGATGGTCGCAGGACCAGAGGTAACAAAAATGGTGGAGGAATTTGAATGTAACGTCTCTAATTCTGATTCACACAACCATCATGAGCATCACCTGGCGTCCAGAGCGCGTTCGCCAAAGATGTTTTGAATGTGTTCTCTTCCTTTGAAGAATTAGGAAATCCATTTATGGAACAGGGCGAGGAGCTCATAGCAATCCACAAAAAGGACATCATGAGTAATAATGTTGTCGACACGGTGCGCAACGTGAAAAAGCTTGGAAAGGAGCAGTTCCGAACCTTCGTGAAAGAGCGGTTTACCGACCGGAGTACGCCAATTACAGAGCCTCTGAAGAAAAATAAACTGCCTACATTCAGCACTCCAAACACTAAGGTCATGTCCAAAACTAAAGCCAAAGTAGCGGTCTTGAAGGAGGACTGTGCTCTGTTTTCTAGGCTTTACATAGCTTGTCAAAGCCGAGATGGAAATCTGCAGGATTTTTTCAGGTTCGAAAATCAGCCGTGGCCTACATCACTCTCTCAAGTGGGCAATCTCAGAGGGGGGCAAAAGGCAGATCTGATGAAATGCTTGCACGACACTACAACACAGACCGTGGAACAACCAACCGTGGATGCAGTCATTCTTGACGGAGCCGTTATTGTAAAGATGTTAAAACCACGAATGGCAGAAACATTTGAGGAGTATTTCAATGCTGTGTTCGCCCCTTATATCCTGAGACAACTTGATGCAGTGAATAGAGTCGACCTAGTGTGGGATGTGTATCGAGAAGACACATTGAAGAGATCTGCTCGGGAAAAGAGAGGCAGTGGACAACGACGGAAATTTCTTCCTAAAACGCGAATCCCCTCAGACTGGAAAGGATTTATGCGTGTCAATGACAACAAGGATGAACTTTTCAAGCTACTTGCTAACATGGTAATAATAATAGTAATGGTAATATATTTAAATACAACGATACATGTTATGCAGAAGTGAATGTTTAACCCTGTGACGCCAGTGTTTAAACTTTAGTATTTTTACGCTAACATCAGATGATGTTATTCGTCAAACAGACGCTAGAGGATTAACAAACACGAGTAAAACATATGGGGTACAACACAGTACAGAATAATTGATTGAACAATATTTTAATACCATCATCGTATTAATCATTTTAGGTGGTGTCACTGACGATCCCTGATGGCAAGGAGATCTACACCACACATGGCGAACATGTCCTGTCTTCTGCCAACCGAGTCGAAATGAATACGCTTGAACCCTGTTCCCATGAAGAGGCAGACACTCGCTTAATGGTACATACCTTGGATGCTACCTTGTGCGGTCATCGTCGAATACATATCAGAAGCAATGATACCGATGTAGTTGTGTTAGCAATTTCAGTAGCTAGCAGTATTTCCGTTGATGAGCTGTGGATCGCATACGGCACCGGAAAGCATCTACGCAACATTCCTGCACATTCCATAGCCGCGTCGCTAGGTCGAGAGAAAGCGTCAGCACTACTGATGTTTCACTCCATAACTGGATGCGACACAGTGTCATTTTTTGGTGGACGAGGAAAGAAGACCGCGTGGGATGTATGGAACGTTTTTCCCGAACTAACACCGGTACTCGAAGCGCTGGCAGCATCACCTGAAGACATCAACGAAGAGTGCATGGCAATAATAGAGATGTTTGTAGTTCTGCTCTACGATCGAACAAGCAGCCTTAAAAGTGTAAACAAAGTGAGGCAAGAGTTATTCTCAAAGAAGTCTAGATAGTATTCCACCCACTCGAGCAGCGCTCTTACAACACGCAAAGAGAGCAGTATTTCAAGGTGGATACATATGGTCTCAGACTCTCGTGAAGAATCCAGTATTACCATCTCCTGCTGACTGGGGGTGGCAGCGTGACGGCAGTTCCTGGGTCCCATACTGGACGACACTTCCACAAGCGAAAGATACGTGCTACGAACTTATTCGATGCGGTTGTAAAATCGCATGTAGAGGACACTGCAAGTGCATGAAAGCTAATTTGACATGCACAGGTTTGTGCAATTGTGGCGGCAATTGTAGGTAGAAATTGTGAGCAAATATAGTCTTGGGATGGCTAAAAAGGCGAGCCAAAAGCACCCCTCTATTTTCTATGAGAACTATTAGGGTTAGAGAAAGAGCTAAAATTATGAGCATTCAGATTATCGAGTTTTATGAATGGTTTTTTGGCCACTTTTTTAGCCATATGGTGAATATTGTACAGTGGATATCAAACTTAGGCCTGTTTTATAAGTCGAATTTCGGTTGCGTCGAATGCAATTAAGACAATAGAGAATGAGATGATAAACCTCATTAAGATTCATTATCTATTGTTTGAATTGCATTCGACGCGACCGAAATTCGACGTATAAAACAGGCCTAAGATATTAGTTGAGTCATGTTTAATGCTGTCCGCTATTGTTGTAAATGGCATTACAGCAGTATCACGTGATACGCGACCACCTCACGCAAAAAGGTTGAGAGCAATAATTGTTTTTGACATTCAGGCGCGGTCACTAATTTAATATCAGAAACGTCAACAGATCACATCGTCGCTATTTATACAATAATAAGTCGTTAAAATATATGTATTTAATATTCAATTCGTCAAATAATTACATTGAGAAAAAAATCATTTACCTTTACCTGTACACTTTGAGACACTCTGTTATGCCTGAAGATTTTAAACGAAAACATGCTCAAATCACATTCAAACTAACACATAAAGATAAGTGCATCTTGTAGTGGAGGTAAATGAATTTCAGTTCTCAACTTAAGACAGTATTCTAGCAATTATTTACTATTTATTTGACGAACCTAAAAATTATATATTTTAACGACTTATTATTCTATAAATATGTAAAATACGTAGCTGGGCCTTGTTCAGTTGTTGACGTTTCTAATACTGAATTCTGTGGAATTAGTGACCGCGCCTGAATGTCAAAAACAACTATTACTTTCAACCTTTTTGCGTGAGGTGGTCGTGTATCACGTAAAACTGCTGTAAAGTCAATTAATGAACTTGATAATGATATGATGGTGATATAGTGATGAATTTGACAGAGAGACCGCAAGAAAAATAGTGATGTGCAAATATAACTATGTATAGTATGTTGTATTAATTTCATTCGACAAATTTGCTTCATTTTACCGATTTGTCTCTATTTCCATTTGCAACATTTCAACGCATGCGCAGTGTTGAGCAATATAGTAACTTGTAGTTGTTTTGCCCTTGTCTTATATTTTTACTTGAGGTTACTCCCAAAATATTTAAAGCACCCAATTCGATCTTTAAAAAATTAAAACTACGCATTTTCAAGTTTGCCACAGGTATCCCAGGCATGCACTACGTGTATTTGTTTAATTTCCAGGAAATAGGTCACGTGACAATACTTTACATTTCTGAGTGAAGAACATGGCTGATATATTAATATGAGAAGCATTTCTGAAAAAAAATTTTAAAGAAAGGGTTCAAACTGGGGTTATTGAAGCAGCCTCGTTTCCATGTTGAGTATTTTATGACATGCGCATTACTCGTCAGCATAAGTGAATTTCGGCTGGCTCCATATCCAAAAATGTTAGTACTAGGGATGTTAGTAATGTGGCAAAGTTTCATGCTTTTATCATCAAAGTGAACAATTCAACATTTTTTTGGTCGTTAACAGCTGGACTATATATATATATCTATATCTATATCTATATATCTATATCTATATCTATATATATCTATATCTATATATATCTATATATATCTATATCTATATATATCTATATCTATATATATATCTATATATCTATTTCTATATATCTATATATCAATTTCTTTCAATTGTGTATTGTCTCTTTGGATTTCATGTGCGAAGGGACGCCCAGATCAATCTACGTCAATCATCCAACCACACATCCTTCAGCCTCTAACTAGACATTTTAGTGAAGAAGTCAGTGGGATAAAAACCAAAGCTGAAGCGCTTCTTCAAAGCAACAAATTCAGAGAAGGGTTCCAAGATGGAGTTTATTTTGTGGACAGTGGAGAAAATATTCCATACAAGGTAACCTGTTTCAAAAGTGGAAAAACAATATGTGGTGTTCATATTATTCAAGAAACAGTATTTGTTGTCACACAAAGAAAGGATGCCCGGCCTCTTAAAGAATTTTCCTGGAAGGAACCTGAATAATGTGGCAGCAACTTCAGCTCCAAAGAGTGTCGGCTCGAAAAAGCCTCCTCGTCCATCTAGGAAACGGCGACTTGAACCACCTGCCGTCGAAACGCTTCCTCCATCCAGACGTCCTACGGCCAACAACGAATCATCGACAAATTTTTCGGTCAGAAATATAAATCCGACTAACTTAGTCATTTCAAGAAATAAAAAGCAATGGGGCGGATCTAGCTTAAAATGTGACCGTATCATATTCCTAGGTCTCGCATATGTAGGGGGGTCCGGACCCTTTGAACCCCGGAAATGCCATTTCCTGCGTTCTGAGCCCATGATTCTGACCTAAAATTTGGCCTTAACAAGGTCATATTTTAAACACAAAGTAACAAAAAAACACACAATAACTCTTCTTGGTATCAGTGTTCAAGTTTCTGTTTCATGAAACGTGGCCGGGGGTACTGTTTTTACATGGAAAAGTCGGCTTTCACGACTGAGTACATTTAATATTCTCGGCCGGTTCCTATTTAAATTAATAACATATTGCACGCGCAATGCCGCAATATGACTTTACAGATTAATATCTTCGGTTAGGCAATGCTATGAAAACAAAAATACTACCGTTCAGTTCATTGAAAGAATATCTCCTAATTCCTAACGATAGTTTTAGTCAATAGGCCTATAGCGATTTATGAACTTTGAGAGGTCAAGCAATATCATATATTTCACTATATTACTCGATTTTCTCGAACGATGTAAACTAGCCATACCTTTCGCCGAACATAACTTCGGCCCCTTCGGACATATCCTTTTCGTAATAGTCTTGTTCTAATTGGCATCCAATACACTATTTATAAAGTGTTATTTCAAGGACGTCTTCTGAAATTATGTAAGGCCATCACTCACTCAGTTACGTTAGAAGAAATGCGGCTGTTAGCAATATGAGACGAAGTTTCCGAGCGGTTCACGATTATTTCATTTCTTGCGCAATCAAAATACAGCCACAGTATCAGAGGGTATCCGACGTCATAGATACACGTGCTGTGATTGGCTGGATACCCTCCAAGGTATCCAAATACCTCATTAAGTTACTATTTTTAGTAACATTTGAACCGCGGACCGTATCAGAACACCGCAGACGCATTTAAAAACATTTTTCCGATCGGGTTATGTAACCTCGGGTTATGCCTTCGGAAAGCTCTCGGCTCATCTTCGTCGAAAGTAATTCAATGCTTTAAAAACACGTCTAATGTTACATTTAGAGCTGTGAATTTTAAAATTTACGAAAGAGTTTGCCCTCGTTCATCTTAGTAAACTCAAATTTTCACTATTTTTGTAAACAGAAATGATTTGCGTGAAAATATATTAATATTGAAATTTTCCCCAAAACTATTTTAGTATGCATAATCGGAAAAATCTGACCGTATCTTGAGCTACACTCGATACCCCCTGGATCCGCCCCTGATCTGATCCTGCTACCTCATCACCACTTGTTGTAAAGAGAATCGCTGGTGGAATCCGAAAGTGTTCTGGTTGTGGTAAGCATATTTTAAAAACGCTACCAGGTTTTGAAAGTGAAGAAGATTCCTTGTACTGTCTTGGAAGACACGAGGCTTACTACTTCTGGAACCAAAATGAAGGATGCTACAAGATTACGTCGGGTGTTAGGCACTACCATATGAATGACATTTGTACAAAATCTTACGCCAATTCTACATCAACGATCTCAAGTGGCAAAGTTCAATTAACAAATCATTTGAAGAGTATGCTGATCTCTAGGTTTAACATGGTGATTACTGACTAAGAGGTTCGGACGTCAATAATGTTGTTACTGAGCTTAGCCATGATTTAAAATTAGTTCAAGAACCTCATTAAAAGTACATTTTACATGCGTTGTGGAATGAACTAGGATGTTCTAATTCACTTGACGTTCAGAAATGTCAACTTTTTTCTAGGGTTGATGATGGTGGACTCTGAGTATTTGTGTTAATTCATTTCAGATTTGCTGTTATTCCATGAACAAGACATGTATACATGCAGTACACTTCAGTTAATAGTTTTCTTTGGGTTTTATTTTAGTAACATCTAATTACCATAAACCTCCGAACTATAAATTGCTGTTGAACTACAGGGTGTATAAAGAAAACTGAACAGATTTGAAATTGCTCTCAATTTCGCAAAACACCTATTTGTATCCGGTTTTTTATATATATAGTTTCTTTATGTACTGATAATGTAGAATAATGAAAAAAATTTCTCGAACTCAAATTTTGTGAACCAGGGGGGTGTGTCTTTTCCAACAAACTAAAAATGGCTCGCGCACAAAATTTAAAAGTTGTAATCATATTTCGAGTTAATATGTCAGGTTTTTGAGTTATATGAGGAACATTTGTCGGGTTTTTAATTACTGTACAAAATTTCAGACAATTTCGTTTAATTTAAGCCTTTAACTATTCACGCAAAGTTACATTTTTCCTAAAAATCAGCTATTTGCATGCTTAATTAATGCCTTTGCCTAATTTGCATATGTCAGCAATATGCAATAATTTGCAAAGCAATATGCAATAATTAAGCATGCAAAAGGCTGATTTTTTTAAA